GCAAGATTCGAAAATTTGCTATTTCTACTTACACTTAGATCACACTACACATACATGTACAAACATATATTTATACACATCCCTCTGGGTTTTCTTCTATTTTCTTTCTAGTTCTTGTTCTTGTTTATTTCCTCTTATCTCCATGGAGAAGTGGAACAGAATTCTTCCTCCCTAAGCCATGTGTGTTGTAAGAGGCGATTAAAATGCCAGGAACAAGGGGCTAGTAACCTGTTCTCCTGTATAAATTACTAAATTTAAAAAGAGAAACTTTCGTTTTTCTTTTTGGGCTACCCTGCCTTGGTGGGATATGGCTGGTTTGTTGAGAGAGAAAAAAAAAATACAGTAAAGTACTTTAGTGCATTTTATTATTTTTTTAACATAATTCTGATATCTGGACACCCCATATTAGTCTGTGATATTCAGAGTTTACTGCAATAGCCTGTACTAGACCCATAAAAAATATAAAATAATACTATACAAATTTTAAGTACATTATAGTCTAAGTTTTGCTAGAAATGCTATACATTTTATTTGAAAGATCTCTTAAATGTATCAGTAAAACATCAGCAGCAGTTTCACAATGCTGTATATTAATCCTGTAGATTAATTCTGCTGCTGAAAAAAAAAATAAAGAGCTCATACCAATATTAGGAACTTACATGTCAATATCTTGAATTCCAAGTTTGCCAGCAAATCTCTTGCCCACTTCACAGCCAAACCACACACATTCTCCACTTTTTATACTCTCACAACAGAGTTTCATTAAGGTTTCCACAGGCTGGTTATTATAAACGGTCAGACGGCCATCTACCATATTTCCTAAACAATCAACTGTATATGCCAACCCATATGCATTGTTAGGTCTAGGATCTGTTACTAAACATACCTGGAAAATAAAAAGGAAAAATAGTGCACATTAAGTCATTTACTGAATTTAGAATACAAAAGTGAATTACCATTATTATAAGGCATATACTCTACCATCTATGTAAACTGGAAATTGCAAAATAAAATTAGAAATGGATGTTGCGCAGAATGAAATATGCATGAAAATAAATTATATAAGCAACAATTCTGTTGAAAATGTGACTATGAATCTGTCAGCTCATGGCTGGGTTTGGTCTTTTCATAAGAATTGTAACATAAGTGAATGAAACTCAGTAATTAAGAATCTTTAGCTGATTTCCAAGTTATAGTCTCATATGATGCTCTGTGAAGCCTACCAGGAGGGGTGAGATATAGTATTTAAGTCCCTAGCTTAACCTGCCACATTTTTCATAAAGAAAGTTAGGGTAATAAACTTGTGAACTAGTGAGACCACCAAAGATGTAGAAAAAATAATTATAATTCTGAATGACCCCCCACTCTGTATAACACAAAACTACAGAAGAAAGAAAACCAACTACAGACCTTGTCTTCAACGTTATACACAATTTTCACATATTCAGTGTAGAATTCTAATGGGGTAAGGGGTCCAACTTTATGGTATGCCTTGGCCTTATCATAATATTCCCAAGTAAATGTTTGAGGAGGAATTCCAAGACAAATTGATACAATTCGATATATTTCACTCATCTGGCGTATTAGCGTCTCTGTAACTGCAGCATCATCACCACCTTTGTTGATTACTGTACGCAGTTCTCGCGTGTATTCTCTCAACTGAAAAGAAACCAAAATATATTACAAAGAAACAATCAATGTTATACTTAAAATATAAATATTTCTCATCTAGAGGGGACTGGTGTACTTTAAAGGAATATTTATCCAATGCATTGGAGCTACTCTTTCCTTCCATGATCAAATCTGACTGCCTCATTTCCTGGGTTCTGCATGAGTCCTACAGGTATAGAGTCCTCCAAGAACTATAATATAACAGACTAATAGAGGGACTGCCCAAGGGCCCATTAAATCAGAATAATGTTAAAAAATATAATAAAATGCACTAAAGTACTCTGTATTGTATTGTACACACAAATTACAGATTTTTTTTCATCAAACCGGCTGCATCCCACCGAGACAGGGTACCTAAGAAGAAAAACAAAAACTTCTCTTTTTAAATTTAGTAATGTATACAGGAGAAGGGGTTACTAGCCTCTTCCTCCCAGCATTTTAGTTCCCTCCTATGACAGGTATGGCTTACGAAGGAAGAGTTCTGTTCCACTTCCCCATAGAGAACACATTACAGATATACTGCAATAAACATTGAAAATAAAGAAGTTAACAGAACAATTTACCCATTGAATTTTGCCCATAATTTTAAGACTGAGGTTTACCATATTTTTAGCAAATATTTCATAATCTACAGCATAAATATTCAGCAAAATGTACAACAGGTGATCCAACTACTGCCTCTACCTTACTCTGTAGGATTTTGGTCATCCTCATGGAGTTTTCAGCACTAAATGATTCTGGGAAGGATTTCTTGGGCATCACACCATACCTGAAATATCAAGAAAATTATGTTGCAATCCTAACAATACTTAATACCATTTGTGGCCTACACCTGATCAACACCAAATTATCATAGTTTATACATATAAAACATACACTTACTCAACTAAATAAGTTAGATACACTAAGTCTCCCAACATGCAAATATGCTGTTGATGAAAATCGTAGAAAATACCAACAAGTTGAAGATTAACCCTTTCAGGGTCGACAGGTCCTCTCAGAGACTTGTTCTCAGGGTCGGCCAAATTTCAAAAAAAAAAAAAAAAAAATCTTATGAAAAGATAGAGAATCTTTTCCCAACCATAATGACAACAAAAGTATGAAATTTGATGGAAAACTTACGGAATTATGCTCTCGCGAAGTTAGTGGTCTCGACAAAGTTTACTCATCGGCGATTTTGCCCACTTTGAGCCCTATTTTCGGCCAATTCCAGTGTACTTGTTGACAAAAATTATAACTATTTCGCTAGAACTCCATTTTTTCTATCGAATGAGTACAAGAAACCACCAATTTACTGATTTCAGAATTTAGCAATTTTGTCAATTTCACACAAATTTCATAAGATGCCAATTTCCAAATAGGGTCCAGAATAAACAAGAAAGACATTCCTGGCATTAAAATAACATTTCCTCTGTTCATTAGTCATGTCTCCATGCCCCTCTTACATTCTTTTGCTTTCCACTTTGAATTTTTATTCTCACAAAAAATAGAAGATTTACTGTTATGCAGACTACTGCATTGGTGTAGAAATGGTATAAATATTATCAGCGCACTTGTGAAAGGATATTAGACTCACCAGTTGATGTGTATTGTACGCATAGCATGATTTGTTTACTTTTGAACTATGGTAAAAATCAAACATTTCTGCTAATTTGTGCGTAATTTCAAGGTAGTTTTCTTTGTAAAACCAGTCAAAATCATCTCAATTTCTAGAATATGTCTTCCATTCTATAAAATGAGACCAGGAAAACTAGAATACAACAATAAATACCATACGAAAATATAGTGCAAAGTCGCTGTTTTAATCCAAAAACACGTTCAAAGTTTTTTTTTTTCTCATTACGCACTGTGTGCTGCAGGACTTTTTTTATACCGCACACACTGACCACATAGACTCATTCTTTCATATGTAGGCCTACCAGCTTTCTCTCACTAGATTTGAGGGTGCTAGAATTTAGGCGTACTAGTATGTCAAAAACCCTGGTGCGTAAGCCGTACTAGTACGACCGAAACCCTGAAAGGGTTAAAACACATGTGCAACAGTTGGGTATCTTTATAGATGAAATGTTTTGCCTACACAGTAGACTTCTTCAGTCAAATACACAGGAAGTATTTGAGGTGGTCAGTCTCTAAGCCTCGAGAAGAGTTCAGCTCCTTGGTCTAGAACGATTTCATTACTACTGCTTTCTCTACATGTATTTGACTGAAGAAGCCTACTGTGTAGTCAAAACATTTCATCAATAAAGATACCCAACTGCTGCACGTGTCTTAACCTTCATACAAATAGCTGCACCTATCACTTCAATTTACAAATTGTTTAAAAAAAAAAATAACACATAGGATGGTTATGTTTCACACAAGCTTGTGTGAAACATAACCATCTATGTTTCAGAACCCACATTTTTCAATTATACAACTTTCTTATTGAAGGCTATTTCACAGGTAGCATTGGCTTCCCTTTCAGCCATCTGCTTTAAAAAATAAAGTCAATAAGTACCTCTTAAGTCCAACTTAAACAATGCTTAGATCAATTATATTAAAGCCTGATGTACTAATAGGAATACTGTTGATCTAAATCATATTAGCATTCATACTGATACCCTCACTATTATCAATCTGTTTCAACATATATTTTTTAACACATTGCCAGTCTCCCACCAAGACGGGGTGACCTGTAAGAGAAACACTTTTATCACCATTCACACTATCACTGTCTTGCCAGAGGCACACAAATATGACAGTTCAGATGTTCCTCCAAACAGCAAATATCTTAAACCCCCTCCTTCAGAGCACAGGCACTGTATGAGTACATACTTCCCACCTCCAGGACTCAAGTATGGATAATGGGTTTCCCTTAATCCCTTCATAAAATATTACCTTGCTCACACTCAATATATATGTTAACTGAAAATAAGTTCTACCTTGGCATTCACCAATGCACATGCTATACCAGATTGTTACATGAAATCTTATAATTTCATATTATTCCAGTAAACTAACCTAACTGTATCACTGGCCAATATTTATAAGTCAATTTAAAGTCTGCCCGAAAAATATCAGTACAGGCAGGCCCTGCTTTGCAGTGTTTCACTTAACAGCATTTCACTAATGCAAAGGTTTTCATTTATACCCATTCTTCACATTATTCAGACTTCCTACAATAAATATATTCACTATTCACTATAAGCCAAGGACAGACAAAAATATTTTAAGGTAAGTTTCGTATATGCATTTTTTAGGCCTAGCTATATTGCTCAATTTATGAAAGTGTAAACATGTTATCAGGCTTTTATATTCATTTGAAAGTGAAAAAAAGCTAAGATTCACTTTAGAGCAATTTTCGCTTTACAGCAGTAGCCCGGAACCTAACCTGCTGTATGAGCGGAGAGAGCCCTCTTACAGCTGTAAATATTCAATGAAATTTTAGATGCAGATATTTGTAATTTGAAGTACAGGTCTTCCTCAACATTCGCGAGGGTTAGGGGATCAAGAGCCTCGCAAATGTTGAAAAATCGCGAATGTTTGGTGCCCCAATATATTGTAGGGAAATATAATTCAATACTGCTTCCTTAACTTGTTGAACCATGAACAATCATAAAATACATGAAAATGTCGTAAAATATTGTACTAAATACATACATGTTATGGTTTAATAACATGTATGTTATTAAATACCACTACCTCAACCACTGCTTCCACCAGTGCCTCAACCACTGCCTCAACCACTGCGGCGCACTGCTCGTATTTTGGTACAATTTCTTTCTTCAATTATATCATGTTTCTCAATTCCTTTACCAAAGGGCTGGCACTAGCAAGTTTCTTTGGGCCCATGGTTAATTATGTAGCAGTCGCACTCAATCTACATGCACCAAACACAATGAATTACTATAGTGAAATGTTTGGAAGAGTGTGGAGACTATGCTCACTCCAGCATAAACAAAGTCACACTGACTGACGATGCCTCAACCACTTCTTCCACCACTGCTTCAACCCTCGTATTTTTGTACAATTTCCTTCTTCAATTCTATCGTATTATTATTATTGTTATTATTATTAATACGACAGAATTGAAGAAGGAAATAGTACAAAAATACGAGGGTTGAAGGAGTGGTGGAAGAAGTGGTTGATGCACCGTCAGTCAGTGTAGCTTTGTTTATGCTGGAGTATTAGTCTCCTCTCTCTTCCAAACATTTCACAATAATTCATTGTGTTTGGGGCTTGTAGATTGAGTGCGACTGGAGTGGTAGAGACATTGGCAGAGGCAGTGGTTGAGGCAGTGGTTGAGGCAGTGGTTGAGGCAGTGGTTGAGGCAGTGGTTGAGGCAGTGGTTGAGGCAGTGGTTGAGGCAGTGGTTGAGGCAGTGCTTGAGGCAGTGCTTGAGGCAGTGCTTGAGGCAGTGCTTGAGGCAGTGCTTGAGGCAGTGCTTGAGGCAGTGGTAGAGGCAGTGGTAGAGGCAGTGGTAGAGGCAGTGGTAGAGGCAGTGGTAAAGGCAGTGGTAGAGGCAGTGGTAGAGGCAGTGGTAGAGGCAGTGGTAGAGGCAGTGGTAGAGGCAGTGGTAGAGGCAGTGGTAGAGGCAGTGGTAGAGGCAGTGGTAGAGGCAGTGATAGAGGCAGTGGTAGAGGCAGTGGTAGAGGTAGTGGCTGAGGCAGCAGTTGAGGCAGTGGTTGAGGGAGTGGTTTTTAATAACATGTTATTAACCCTTAAAATGTCCAAACGTAGATCTACGTTTTTTCAACATTTGAAAGTATGTAAAAAAACATAGATCTTTTCTTTTTTTTACATTTGAAAACGTGTAAAAAAAAACTTTGATCTACTTTTTTTTTGTTATATTTGAAAATATGTAAAAAAACGTAGATCTACTTTTGGAGCACTACACATGTGAACGTAAATTTGTTTGGACAGTTTAAGGGTTAATATTAATAATAATACATGTTATTAATAATAACATGTATTATTATTATTAATAACATATATCTTATTAAATACCACTGCCTCAACCGCTGCCTCAACCGCTGCCTCAACCGCTGCCTCTACCACTCCAGTCACACTCAATCTACAAGCACCAAACACAATGAATTATTGTGAAATGTTTAGAAGAGTGTGGAGACTAACGCTCACTCCAGCATAAACAAAGCCACACTGACTGAGGATGCCTCAACCACTTCTTCCACCACTCCTTCAACCCTCGTATTTTTGTACAATTTCCTTCAATGTTATCGTATTATTATTATTATTATTATTATTATTATTATTATTATTATTATTATTATTATTATTATTAGCAGTAGCAGAAATGTTTGATTCTTTGCCGTGTTCAAGAGTAAACATATGATGTCACCGTCCAATACCTGTCCGAATAGCCATTCCAATATTCAGTCATGAATGGGTTGACATTATTTATACTGTAGTTTAATAGCAAATAATGAACAAACAAAACACTCACTACACTGAGTGGTGGGAGGGCTGGCTGCCAGTTTTGGGGGTCAAAGGGAGGGTAGTAGGGACTCGCGGATGGCGGGAAACTTAAACATGATTTGGCGGCTGGGAATATGGCGGTTGGGAATTTGGCAGTTGGGAATTCGCAAAGGTGTGAAGCCCGCGAAAGTTGAAAATGCGAATGTTGAGGGAGACCTGTACGCTTCTAACCTGGAGACCTCCTGTACTTTAGCTACTTGGATACAATGGTTTACACTTACTGTGTTGGGTAATAGCAATGTTATTACATTGTGGCAAAGAGAACAAGTGCATTTTAACCAAAATCATTTATAT